AAAAAAAAGCACCCTAATAAGTATGTTGCTATAATTATGATGTATCTTAAATATGTAAATCTTATTTATTTAAATATGAATAAACATTTTGAAATGAGTTCAGAAAAGAAGCTTTGATAATATAGCCCCCAAAAGCCTGCTTCTATCAGAATGATGGTTGCACCAGCTTCCGAGAACAAGCGCTCGCTTGCCACTGGTCGTTCGGCATAATACCATAATACGAACGGAGTGAATGAATGTCGATGTTTTTCACTTTTCTAGACGATGTATCGTCCAGCAAAATATCGGTTTTAACATCGATATTTTTGGACGAAACATCGATGTTTTGAAAACATCGATGCATCGTTTGCATCCCTAATCGCAGTAGCTTGGCGTTGTTTTCACATTTCAGTTATCCGCAGTGTTTCGATATTTAGAAAAAAGCGTTTGCTGAATTCGCTAATAGCAGACAAGCCGACGGTTGCGCAGGACAACGTCTGTCGGTTTGTGCGATGAAGCTTTTTATGTCTACACAAGCGTTAATAGGAAAGTGAGCGTGAAATTTAAAATTTTGAAGAGGAAGGTTTGTGAAATTTTTTATCGATTGTCAAATAAGTAGGCAGTTATTCGGTTGTTATCAGTGTTGCCGTTTTAGACCTTTGGTGGCTAGATTTAGCTACCACATACTTTTTTTGTCCACTTTAATTTAAAATTGCCCCTTTGCCCCCACGAAAAAGTTGTATATGCTTAATTTGGTCTAATTTTTTTTCATTTAGGTAAGAGATGAATTTTTAAACTAAGAAAAAGACTGATATATATACATATATGTATTTTATGTTCCTTACGTTTTTATATATGCTTAATTTGTTAAATGGCCCATCAAGTCGATTGACCGTGTATGTTCTTGTGGCGTGATTGTACCCAGGGTAGGCAAAAACTCGGACTCGTAGCTGCAATAAGGCGAGGCACGAGAAGTGTGGCTTGCTCGGCAAACGAGCGAGCGCCGCTTGTTTGCTCGGCTGCTGTGTGTTGCCTCTCTCGCAGTGCCGAGAAGAGTGTCCAGATTTGGGGATTTCGCGCCAATTTGGCGATTTTTTTTGGATATTTGCGCGTAAAAATTTAGGAAATCGCCGTTACCGATTTTTGGCGATTTTTTCCCTTTAAATTTTTTCCAATTGTAAAAATATACAAAACTTAGTTTTCCGCGATAATTTTACAGAAGCGGCTAATGACCTGCGTTTCTCGCGGACTTGACTAAAGAAGCATATTAAAAGACTGTCAAAAATTTATAATCGCCCTAATGGAAGAATTAAATACTTTTAAAAAAAGCTTTGATTTTGTCACCAGAAAAGTGTGTTAATCACAAGAGGGCGAGTTTCAGGGACCTTCCAAGTCACAATTTGACTTTGAAGGAAAGAAAAGCAGCGGAAACTGAATATTAACTTTCCCATGGAATAACTTTTTCATAACCATTCCATCCGACTCTGAAGAATTTTGGATAATTGCTTACGGAGTGAAAACCGCAAGAGGCAATAAAATGTTTGGAAATATAAGTAAAGTAGCCTTCATATTATTATCCTTGCCGCGCTCACATGCTTTTGTTGAGCGCGTTTTTTCCGTAATGAATTCAACAAAAACTAAGATTCGTAATGGGATGAGGTTGGAAAGCCTTAATTCAATAGTTCGAATAAAGTGTTATATGAAGGCTGATAGTTTCTGCTGCAAAACGCTTCCAATATCAAACAGTATGCTATCAAGGTTGAATAGCTCAATATATGACAACAACAGAAATGTAAATCATTCAGACACTATAGGTGATTTTGAAGAAATTGTGGAAACAGCTGATCTCGCCTTATTATAGGTTTCTATTTAACCTATAATAAGGTTTCTATTTTATTTTTAGCGCCAAGCTCGTAAAAAGCGGATTGTGCGATTAATCAATTAATATGAGTTATAATAAATTTAATAATTGCGCAGTCCTATTGCAAAATGTGTTGAAACAAATATTTTTAAAAAGTATGCGTATTTTTAAAGAAAATTGTTTGTACATCCCTATTATACATATAAGTGATTTGTGTTATTTATTATTACCCTCTGAAGGTATTATATTCGTTTTTGGTTTTAAAAACCGTATTATAACAAGATCTCATTTTGAAAAGAAAAGATTTGTTAAATCGATTTCTGGAATTTTATTTAAAAAAAAAATTGCGATTTTTGGCATTTTTTTTTAACAGAAATTGCGCTTATTTTTAAACAATCTGAACACCCTGGAGCTCGGCTGAGTGGAAGATCGACCTATCTCGGCAACCAGTTCGAAAACACTCTATCTCAAAAAACTTTTCAAGAACGCCCTATTTCAGAATTCGTTTCAAAAACGCCCTATCTCAGCTGCCGATTCAAAAACGCCCTATATCAGCATATTTTTAATACATTTTGAAGTGAGATAGGGGGTTTTTGAACCGAATTTTGAGATAGGGTGTTTTTCAATTAAATTCTGAAATAGGCCGTTCTTGAAAAGTTTTTTGAGATAGAGCGTTTTCGAACTGGCTGCCGAGATAGGTCGATCTTCCACTCAGCCATCGATATATACTTATGTACTTCCATATAATTAGTTTACTTTTCTAAATTTTCTTAATGAACACGGAATAAATCATTTTTTTAGACTTCATTTTCATTTAATTTAATTTAATAAAATATATTAAATTGACATCACATGGTTTCAATAATAAAAATAATAAAAGATTTCAATCTAGAAAGGTTAAAAAGGTACATTTCACAGCTTCATCTTATGACTAATAAAAAATAAATTCAAAATCTACTTTTGCAGACATCGGTTCAATATTGATTTTAATTCCAGCAACGCTTGGATTCGCTCTTTCTCCAGTGAAAGTTTTTCCCTCTCCACAGCCATTGCTTCGTCATGTCGGGTTTGCTCTTTAATAGCTTCTTCTTCAAAAAACTTTAATATTTCGCTGTTTGGGTTTCTCCGAGGATGTGGTGCTCTACGACTTGAAGTCGGTGGAGAATTGGGTGGCTCAACATTACCTTCTTCTAATGGCGGCGACGATGGTAGCTCCAACGACGCTTGCAGATTTTGTGGCGGAGGATTGATGGAGTGCCTGGTACCATACACCTCGTCAAAATCTTCAAAATATAGCCAAGATGTTGCTTCCCTACCGGAGGAATTATTGCGCTTTTTTATACGTTTATACGATACCAGCATATTTAAAAATTTTCTTTGTGCAATGTGTCTGTCTATGTTAATGTCTCTGTTGATTTTTTTTACTTCTTCCACCACCTTATTCCATAGAACGCTCTTTTTTCTCCTTCCAGATGCAAATTCGTCTTCCATATTTAATCGAACTCTAAGCAGCAACTTAACTTCAGCCGTACTAAGATTTTCGCTGAAAATAATAAAAATATAATATAAGAGTGTTTCAAAACTATACGTTTAACAAATTTTCATTGTAAAAATTACAGAAAATTAGTTTTGTACTCACTTTTCTTCCGACATGGTACAAGCGTAATCAGCGGCAGTGTAATTTTTTTATGCAAATGATGAGCGACGCTTGATAGAAACATGGCGTTTTAGAACGCTCGACATTTGCAGTGCTGCCATATTAGCATTTCTGAACGTTCTGCTGGTCCTGCAAAAGCAGTATGCGCATTATACTGCATTACTGAACACACCCACAGTACGACAAGACCTACTTAACACAAAGCTCATCAGACACAAAAATTTAACCCTAAACGAGGGGACACAGCAACACGGAAAACGACAGCGAACGACGAATAGGATTTTAAAAACAGATTGGCATTAACCACGAAAGCAGACGGACGTTGAAAGTAAAAAAACCCACCACCGCGCAATAAATTGTTAAACGTGAACTTTTAGTTAAATAATTAAATAAGGCTATCGTGTAAAATGTAATGTGAACTTATTCGTAATAAATGTTTAAAAGCTAATCAATCGTTTTATTTCATAGCACAGAGAAATCCCACAAGATTTGGTGTCAGAAGTGGGATGCTAAAAATACAAAAAAAACGACATTAACTTAACAAACTAACTTTTAATGTTAAGTAGGGCCTGTCGTACTGTGTTAACCAAACACGATAGTGATCAGTACTGTGACTTCTGCGGAAAAGGCACCATCGAAGACCCGGAGCACATACTTCTACTGTGCCCACGATTCAGCGAACAGAGACGTAGACTCCAACAGTATATCAATGCAGCACTGTCTCCAGAAGCTGTAGTAAATTATATGCTGAGAGGTAGAGAGGAATGGAGTTTATCCAGCAGTGAAATAACGTCAATTATGAAATGTTTGAGATGTCTAGAGCGGCAGAGACGTGCAATAGGTATGTAATGCAAAAGCGCGGATTGGAACCTAGGCCGTTCCAACCGCCAAGGCAATGCGGCTCTGAAATTCGGGAACCCGAAGAGCATGAGCGGATTGGAACCTAGCGCGTTCCAACCGCCAAGGCAGGCGGCTTAGAAACTTTCAAACCGTCTCCCCAACATAGCGTCGGCGCGGATTGGAACCTAGGCCGTTCCAACCGCCAAGGTAGTGCGGCCTTGTAACCTATTCGTCAAAATCGTAGGAGCGGATTAGAACCTAGGTCGTTCCAACCGCCAAGGTTATGCGGTTTAGAAACTGGCGCTCTCAGACCTCCTCCCCAACAATGAAGTTCATTTACCAAAGCGTAGGCGCGGATTGGAACCTAGGCCGTTTCAACCGCCAAGGCAGTACACATAAACGTGCATGGGCTTGAGACTCGAAATTTCTGAATGCCTGTTCAACGAAACTACCAGCGACGGGGCTGCTCAATCTGGCCCGACCGCTACAAGAAAATCATCTAAACGGGTGTCCTCACTATTCCAAATAGTTAATATATAAGTACCGTGTTTGTATATGGTTTTAACTTCAGGTAAAGACACTTAAATAAATACATAGTAGAAAAAGAAAAGAGTTTCACTAATTAAGACGTGGCAGAACCTATTAGGTACAGCCCAGGACTGAGTACATTTGACTGGAACGTACGTGCGAGCTTAGTGCTCAAACAGCCTCCCGCCGGAGTACTTGACGGTGTTACCGGGGGGATCGGCACTTGGACAGTAGGAGGTCTAGTTCGGGTTAAAGTCCACACTGACGGGTACAGGCTTTCGATGCTTCCTCTTCGTAAAAACAAAATAAAAAAATGTATGTACATATGCATGTATTTTGTCTTTACAGAGAAAATAAGTAAAGAGGATAGTAAATCGTTTGTGCAGCAGAAACAAAAAAAAATCCTAAGTACTTTTTAACACCCCAAAATAGTTTGCTATTTACTTGTAGCAGTTATGCTGTATACCTGAAAGAAATATATGAAGATAATCCTTTGTGAACAAATTTATTTGTGGCCTGTTGTCCAAGGACATATGTATGTACATTTGTATGTATGGATATGTATTATTATTATTATTATTATTTATTAACAAATTAAATAAATTATTGCATTAATATTATTGAGCGAGCATTAGCTGCCAGGACTATCAGCTCTAAATAATAAACTCTTTGTGTATCACTTAAATAAGTAAAATTGTCAATCGAAAATCAGCTTTAATAAAATAATTATTTCTATATACGGACACGAATATGCTTTATAAAATTGTTTATATAATTTATATTTTCTTACGTAGGCGTTTTAAGAAGTTCAATCCAGTTGCTTTTAAGATATTGGTTTCTGATTTCAACTAGGATATAACAGTCTTGAAATAACCTCTCTGAAGTTGGCAGGACAACTTTTGCTCAAAGCAAAAATTCCTATCGGATAATTTGCCGTTAATTATCCGTGAAAAGAATAATTTTGCCGCGGACATATTTTAAAAAATATCGCGTGCCCTGCTAACTTCCGTGAAAACCAATTAAGGAAACCCGCTAAACCCAAACTAACTATCTGATAATTTGCCGTAAATTATCCGTTGTTTATCCGTGAAAAGAATAATTTTGCCGCGGATATATTTCAAAAAATATCGCGTGCCCTGCTAACTTCCGTGGAAGTGGAGTTTTTTTTAAAATATGTCTGCGACAAAATTTTTAGTCCCACGGATAAACAACGGATAATTTACGGCAAATTATCAAATAGTTAGTTTGGGTTTAGCTGGTTTCCTTAATTGGTTTTCAGAAGGTGCCCTGCTAACTTCCACGGAAGTTAGCAGGGCACGCGATATTTTTTAAAATGTGTAAGCGGCAAAATTATTATTTTCACGGATAAACAACGGATAATTTACGGCAAATTATCAAATAGTTACGTTTGGGTTTAGTTGGTTTCCTTAATTGGTTTTCAGTAGGTGACCTGTTAACTTCCACGGAAGTTAGCAGGGCACGCGATATTTTTTAAAATGTGTAAGCGGCAAAATTATTATTTTCACGGATAAACAACGGATAATTTACGGCAAATTATCAAATAGTTAGTTTGGGTTTAGCTGGTTTCCTTAATTGGTTTTCAGAAGGTGCCCTGCTAACTTCCGTGGAAGTTAGCAGGGCATGCGATATTTTTTAAAATATGTCCTCGGCAAAATTATTCTTTTCGGATAATTTACGGATAATTTACGGCAAATTATCCGATAGGGATTTTTGCTTTGAGAAAAAGTTGTCCTGCCAAGTTCAGAGAGGTCTTGAAATATGTGTTTTAAAGAGAGCGTATCGCCACAGAGTGCACAGGATGGAGGTGGATCACCGGCCAGGAGATGTTGGTGAGTGTCCTGGGTATGGCCAAGGCGCAAACGGGAGTAGTTCTTAATCTGCGATTTTGGGATGTCGGCAGGGTATCGTATATTTTTTAGGTCTCTGTTGATGGGTGAGTAGTGGTGATGGTTATATTGAAGCCATTCGCTCTTCGATTTTGCCTGGAGGTAACGCTTGATTGCTGCACACATGTCTTTCTTCTCGCACGTTCCATCTTTTGTTACCGGTAGAGTGAGAACAGATTTTGCTGCCCCATCAGCCGCTTCGTTGCCGTAGATCCCTATGTGACTAGGGATCCAGAGCAAGCGTATAGTAGATACCTTATCGATGAGTAAGTATCTTATTTTATTAATGGTCTTAGGGTTTGACAAGGGGTTTTGAATTGCATTTAGCACTGATTTGCTGTCCGTGCATATGAGAGTTTGGCAGCCCTTCTCCAACGCCATTGTTATTGCGCAGCGGATTCCGACTGCTTCTGCAGTGAAAAAAGACGCGGTGTCTGATAGAGTCTGTACCCTCAAAGTGTGACCAAACTTATTTACTACTGCGAAGCTTGCTGGTGAGGTTTCAGTTCTCGGCCCATCTGTGAACCATATGTTCCAGCCATCAGCTTCATAATGAACTTTGCGCTCTCGGAACAAACATAAGAAGACATCAGATTTCATGATCTCCCATGGCGGATGATTTGGTTGGTAGTTTCCTCCATGTAGTGGAAATCTAGATCTTTGGAAATTTTCAGTATTCGATGTATTGCTGAGGGAGTTCTTTGCTGTCTTTGTGTGTGGCTAATGTTTTTGATGTCATTATCAATGACCGAGTTGGATGGAAAAACTATTTTTGGTATTAAGCTCGAATAGACTTGATGTACTCTTTCTTCTACAGATGGTAAACCAGCCTCTGCTAACAGGTTTTTGATGGGAGTTGTGCGATATGCGTAGAGACTCGCTCTCACCGCTTGGTGGTAAATCGGCTTGAATGTATTTAAGATTGATCTAGGAGAGTTTCCATACATAATAGAGTTTTAGTTAAGTATATAAGTGTATTAGTAAGTGCATGACATTTTTTACTTGCGAGATACGTAATAAGGTTTATTATGGCAGCTAATGCTCTTTTGATATTCAAACATTGATCCGTCCAGCGGTAATTATTGGAAAATATAATGCCTAAGATTTTAAGTTTTTTTACATTCTCTATTTGAACATTATTTACAGCTAAATTATGGTTGTAAAAATCACATGAGTGTTTCCTACAAATGTGGAAATTTTTACTTTTTTCTAGAGATATTTTAGCTCCGGAATATATGGTCCAATACAGAATATCTTTTATTATATTCTTAAAAATTAAATTTTTTTCTGTATTTTTATTCCTTCTACAGAATATGTAAACATCATCTGCAAAAATACAATGATCCACATAGTTATTTGATTTTATTATGTTGCTTATTTCGTTGAAGGCAATGCTGAAGAGCACTACCGATAATGGGGAACCTTGCGGTACGCCATTATTTAGGGTATACGTCTCGGAGAATACGTTTTGTATTCTGACGCGGAATTTTCTATTTTGTAGGAAGGACTTGACAAAAGAGAACATTTTGGGACCAGTTCCCCACGAACGAAGGCGGTTTAAGATGACATGGAGTCCTATCCGGTCAAATGCTTTTTCAAAATCTAGTGATAGCATGGAGACGTGATTGCGGGCTGAGAGAGCTTTTGTCACATAGAAGTCTATGTGAAGGAGGGCGTCTGTACAGCCTCTGTTAGGACTGAAGGCTACTTGGTTAGAGTTGATGAGTAACTGCGACTCAGTGAACCATGCAATACGATTTGCTATTATCCGTTCTAACACTTTTGATAAGCAAGAGAGAAGAGAAATAGGACGGTATCCGTCAGTTGAAAGGGGAGTTTTATTTGCCTTAGGGATAGGAACTACAGTGGCGACTTTCCAGTTTTGTGGTATGATACCGGTATCAAATATAGTGTTATA